TGTGGCCGCTGGGGGTGTCCCCGCACCGGTGTCCCTTCCCGTGGAGTGGGGGGGTGACAATGGGGGTGTCCCCACACCTGTGTCCCTTCCCGTGGATTGGGGGGGTGACAATGGGGGTGTCCCCACACCTGTGTCCCTTCCCGTGGATTGGGGGGGTGACAATGGGGGTGTCCCCACACCTGTGTCCCTTCCCGTGGATTGGGGGTGACAATGGGGGTGTCCCCCACACCTGTGTCCCTTCCCATGGATTGGGGGTGACAATGGGGGTGTCCCCCACACCTGTGTCCCTTCCCATGGCACAGAGGTGTCTGCTGGCCGTGGGTGCCACCACACCTGTGTCCCTTCCCGGGGACCTGTCACACACCTGTGTCCCCTCCCAGGTGGGCCCCGCCCCGCGGCCTTGGCCCGGGCTATAAGTGCCCGGTGAAGGCCCCGGCTCGGCCCGGGAGGCGACAGGAGGTGACGGCGATGGCGTCGGCGCTGCTGGTGACGCTGGTGGCCGCGGTGGCCGTGCTGGCCGCGGGGGTGGAGGCACAGTGCCCCAAACCTGCTGACCTGCCACCTGTCAACGGCACGCGGGTGTGCGCCCAGCTCTACGCCGACAACAGCCCCTACTACAACCAGTGCTGCGCCGGGGACGTGCTGGTGGTGCTGCCCAACAGCGACGCGCCCTACATGCCCCGAGGGTGGTCCGCCCGCGCCTCCTCCCTCGTGGTGGGCACCAGGTGCGAGCTCACCGTGTGGTCGCGCCGCGGCAAGAAGGGCAACTCGCGGAAGTTCAGTGCCAGCGCGGTGCCGCGGCTGCAGGAGGTGCGCCGGGGGCTCTTTGGAGACTGGAACGACGCCATCCGGGGCTACTACTGCACCTGCAAGTGAGCGGCGGCGCCGGGGATGGGGCGGGGGTGACACCGGGCGACGACGGGCGACGCCAGCCAGCGCGGGGCAGGGCGTGCCGGCGTGGCCACCGCGAGTCCGTCCGGGCCGAGATGGGTCAGCCAAACTCAACATTGGCCGAGATGAACCAACAGAAGCCAACGTTGGCCGAGATGAACCAACACGAGCCGATGTTGGCCGAGATGAACCACCACGAGCCAACGTTGGCCGAGATGAACCACCATGAGCCGACGTTGGCCGAGATGAACCACCACGAGCCGACATTGGCCGAGATGAACCACCACGAGCCGACCCACCACAAGCTGATGTTGGCCGAGTCGACGCGAGCCGGCGTCAGCCAAGATCCACCATCGGTGTCCGAGCCAAGCCAACCTTGGCCAGTGTGAGTCCATCCGGGCCGAGCCTCTCGTGGGACCCTGCGTGACCCCGGGCCGTCACGGCCGCCCCCCGCCGCCCCCCCCGCAGTCAATAAAGCCCTGAGGCAGCAGCAGCGCCCGCCTGGGGGGTTCTTTATTGCTGGGGGGTGGTCTCCGTGCCCCCCCGCCCCACGGGGACCCCCGCCGCATGCCCCCCCTGCCCCCCCCAAAAGAAGCACACGGCACACAGGGGGTCCAAAAGGACACGTGTAATTTGGGGGGGGCCCCGTGTCCCCCCGGGGCCCCCCCGTCCCGTGCGGTACAAAACCTGACCATATAAATATCACTTTGTTAAAAAACAAAACCGTGGGAGCGGGGGGGAGTTCCGGGGAGGAGGAACCAACAACAACAAAAAAAAAAACCCAAAATCAACAAAAACAGGCGAGGAGGGCCCGGGGGGGGCACACCCCGAATCAGTAGTGTGGTGTGGTGGGGGGAGAGGGGGGACTGCAGTTTCGGGGACCCCCCCCCTCACAGAGATGTAGGGGGGCCACACCCCCGTGCCCAAAAGGGGCAGAAAAGAGGGGACTAAAAACAAAAAAAAGGGGGGAAATGCCCCAAAATGGGTCCCAAAGGCGGCAGGGACCAGGATGAGCCCCTGCACCCCCAAATCTCTGGGGTGACAGCTGCCCTCCCCCCCAAAATCTCTGCTGTGTGGTCCCCAGCTCAGTAGTACAGGTCGGGGGGGCCGGTGCCCCCCAGGAACATCCCAGTCCCGCTCCTGTTTGGGGGTGTCGCCGAGGAGGAGGAGCAGGGGGAGCGGGAGGGGGCCAGGGGATCCCCCCAGGGTGGGGAGGGGTCTCACCGCAGCCGGTGCTGCCGCATGAGGGGCACGATGCAGGCGGGGGGGCCCGCCACACCCAGGAAGGGGTGACGGAGCAGCTCCGGGGCGCTGGCCCGCTGCGCCGGGTCCCGCACCAGCATCCGCTCCAGGAACCCCTTCAGGGACGGGGACACCTGAGGGGAACAAATCAGGGGTGTCAGACACCCCCCGGGACTCTCTGGAAAAGGGGGGGGACTCCCCTGAGTTACCTTGTGGCCGTTCTTGAGCCGGGGGGGAAGGTTGTCCCGGATCAGCTTCATGGCTTTGAGGGGGGGCTCGTTGAAATAGGGGGGTTCCCCATCCACCATCTCGATGACCATCACCCCCAGGGACCAGATGTCCACCTGGTGGGGAGGGTCACCCCAAAAGTGAGGAGGGGCTTAGGGGGGTGCCCCTCAACCCCCTCCGTGTCCCAGAATGGGGGGGGGGGGGGGTCTGGAGGGGAGGCCACTTGGAGCCCCTCATACCTGTGCTGGGTACCCCCAAACCCACCCTGGGCAACCCTAATCCCAAATCCAAACCCACCCTGGGAAGTCTCAAACCCATCCCAACCTCCCCTCAAGACACCTCAGGGTGGTAAAGAAGGCAGGAGATGAGCTTGGGGACCCACACACCCATCCCAACCCCTCTAAACCCACTCCAAACCCCCCCCAAACCCACCTTAAACACCCCCTGGTGCACCCCAGGACCCCCTAAACTCTCCCAACCCCTCTAAACCCACCCCAAACCCCCCAAAACCCACCTTAAACACCCCCTAGTGCACCCCAGGACACCCTAAACCCATCCCAACCCCTCTAAACCCACCCCAAACCCCCCAAAACCCACCTTAAACACCCCCTAGTGCACCCCAGGACACCCTAAACCCATCCCAACCCCTCTAAACCCACCTTCAACACCCCCTAGTGCACCCCAGGACCCCCTAAACTCTCCCAACCCCTCTAAACCCACCTTCAACACCCCCCAAAACCCACCTTAAACACCCCCTGGTGCACCCCAGGACCCCCTAAACTCTCCCAACCCCTCTAAACCCACCCCAAACCCCCCCAAACCCACCTTCAACACCCCCTAGTGCACCCCAGGACCCCCTAAACCCACCCCAAACCCCCCAAAACCCACCTTCAACACCCCCTGGTGCACCCCAGGACCCCCCAACCTCTCCCAAGCCCCCGGACCCACCTCTGGGCCGTAGGGCAGGCGGGAGATGAGCTCGGGGGCCATCCAGTAGGGAGTCCCCACCAGGGACTTGCGCCGCGGCACCTCCTTGTTCACTTGGGCACAGAAGCCGAAATCTGAGAGTTTCACCTGCCAAGGAGGCCGGGGCTGGTTGGGGAGGGGTCCCAAAGGATCAGAGGGAGGTTTGGGGGGATTTTTGGGTGTTCCTACCCGCCCGTCATGCGTCAGGAGGATGGAGTCGCTCTTGATGTCGCGGTGGATAACGCCCTGGGCATGGAGCACGGCGAGCGCCCGCAGCACCGAGCGGCACACGGCCGCGATCTGCTCCTCTGACATCCTGGGGGACAGCACTCTGTCACCGCCCTGTCACCTCTGTCACCGCTCTGTCACTGCCCTGACACTGCCCTGTCACCTTTGTCACCTCTGTCACCGCCCTGTCACCATCTTGTCACCGCTCTGTCACCGCCCTGACACTGCCCTGTCACCACCCTGTCACCTCTGTCACTGCCCTGTCACTGCCCTGTCACCTCTGTCACTGCCCTGACACCGCCCTGTCACCTCTGTCACCGCCCTGACACCTCTGTCACTGCCCTGTCACTGCCCTGACACCGCCCTGACACCTCTGTCACCGCCCTGACACCTCTGTCACTGCCCTGTCACCTCTGTCACCGCCCTGACACCGCCCTGTCACCACCCTGACACCTCTGACACTGCCCTGTCACCTCTGTCATTGCCCTGACACCGCCCTGTCACTGCCCTGTCACCTCTGTCACCGCCCTGTCACCTCTGTCACTGCCCTGTCACCTCTGTCACTGCCGTCACCATCCTGTCACCGCCCTGTCACCTGTCACCGCCCTGTCACCTCTGTCACCGCCCTGTCACCTCTGTCACCACCCTGTCACTGCCCTGTCACTGCCGTCACCATCCTGTCACCGCCCTGTCACCGCCCTGTCACCTCTGTCACCCCCCTGTCACCCCCCTGTCACCTCTGTCACCTCTGTCACCGCCCTGTCACTGCCCTGTCACTGCCCTGTCACCTCTGTCACCACCCTGTCACCTCTGTCACCTCTGTCACCGCCCTGTCACCACCCTGTCACCTCTGTCACCACCCTGGCACTGCCCTGTCACCTCTGGCACCGCCCTGTCACCTCTGGCACCGCCCTGTCACCTCTGGCACCGCCCTGACACTGCCCTGTCACCGCCCTGTCACTGACCTGTCACTGACCTGTCACCACCCTGTCACCTCTGTCACTGCCCTGTCACCTCTGTCACCGCCCTGTCACCTCTGGCACCGCCCTGGCACCGCCCTGGCACCACCCTGCCACCTCTGCCACCTCTGCCACCGCCCCATGGTCTCCTCCAGCCCCGCTGCCCCTGTCACCTGGTGTGGGTGACGATGTCAGTCAGGGCACCGCCCTCCAGGAACTCCATGACCACCCAGAGCTCGTCACCCACCAGGTAACTGTTGTACATCTCCACCACGTTCTCGTGCTGGTGGTCCCGCATGATCACCACCTGGGGGGACACATGGGGGTGACACCTCGGGACTGTCCCTGCGGGTCCCCAGGGCTTTGGGAGGTCCCTAGTGGGCCACCAAGAGGTCCTTGAGGGCCTCCTGAGGGGATCCAAGGGGTTCCTGAGGGTCCCCAAGGCTCTCCAGGGCTTTGGGAGGTCCCTAGTGGGTCACCAAGAGGTCCCTGAGGGCCTCCTGAGGGGACCCAAGGGGTTCCTGAGGGTCCCCAAGGCTCTCAGGGGTGCCCAGGGCTGGCCCTGCCCTCACCTCGTTGAAGAGCAGCTCTCGCCGCTGCTGCTTGCGCAGGTCCATCTTCTTGACGGCCACCAGCTTGCCGGAGCCGCGCACGGTGGCGATGCAGACGACGCCCGTGGAGCCCTCGCCGATCTTGATGAAGTTGTCCAGGTACGTGCGGGGGTCTCCAGGGTCCACCACCATCTGCAGCGCCGCCCGGAACTGCTCGTGGGACACGCGCTGGGGACCCCCCGGCGCGGCGGGCGCGGGGGGACGCGGGGCTGGCGGCTCCGGGGCTGGGGGAGGCGGCTCTGGGGCTTTGGGGCGTGGGGGGCCGGGGGCACCGTGGGAGGCGCCGGGAGGGCCGGTGGGGACCGGCCCGTTGGGGGTCACCTCCTGCGGGCGTCCCGGGCGGTGCTCGGCCTGCGGGGACGGGAGAGAGGGGTGTCAGCCCCCGGAATTCCCGCCGGGAATGCGGGGGGCCAGCGCCCGTGCCTCCGGGCCAAAGGGAAGGGCCGAGAGGAAAAGAGGAAAAGACTCCGGAGCCACGGAGCCCCCAGCCCCTCCAGGATGGCACAGTTCCGACCGGGACAAGCTGTGAGGAAGAGGAGCAGAGGAGTTTCTTCCAGGGAGGAAGAGAAGAGGCAGAGCAAAGAAGAGGAACCGGTTTCAGTGGCGATGATGATGATGCAGCGCTGGGCAGGGGAAGCCGTGGGCCCTGCACATCCCAGTGCTGGAGAAGAGAAGCAGAGAAGCTGCTTCCGAGGAAGAACAGGGCAAGCACAGTGAGAGGGAAGAAGCAGAATCAGAAGAAGCAGAACCAGAAAAAGAAGCAGAATCAGAAGAATCAGAAGCAGAAGAATCAGAAGAAGCAGAAGCAGAAGAAGCAGAACCAGAAGAAGCAGAACCAGAAGAAGAAGCAGAATCAGAAGCAGAATCAGAAAAAGAAGCAGAATCAGAAGAAGAAGCAGAACCAGAAGAAGCAGAACCAGAAGAAGCAGAACCAGAAGAAGCAGAACCAGAAGAAGCAGAACCAGAAGAAGCAGAACCAGAAGAAGCAGAATCAGAAGCAGAATCAGAAGCAGAATCAGAAGAAGCAGAAGCAGAAGAAGAGGAAATCGCTCCAGAGCCAAGTGTGTGACCCTGGGTAAGGAAGCTGCTGCTGATCCCAGCGGAGCGCGGGAAGCTGCGAGGAAGAAGAGCAGAGAAGCCGCTCCGGAAGAGGAAGAAGAGCAGGAAGAGGAGAAGGAGGACAGGGAAGGGCCTGGGGACACCCCTTTACCTGGGCGCTGCCCCCCCGGCCGGGGTCGGTGTCGGCGCGGGGATAGGTGTGGAAGGGGCGTCCGGGCGCCGTCTTCAGCCCCGCTGCGGGAGCCCCGGGACCGCCGGCAATGTCGGGGGGCCGCAGGTCGGGCCCCGAGAGCGGGCGCTGCTCGCGGGCCGGGGGCCGTGGGGGCCCCTCTCCGGCTGAGCTGGATTTGGGGCGGCCCCCGGAGGGGTGGGGGTGAGGGAGGGGCGGCTCCCGCCCGGCTGCAGCTTTGGGGTCCCCCCGGGCCCGGGGCGGGCTGGGCTCCAGGTCCCCGCGGCGGCTCCTGCCGGGCTCCGGCCGGGAGCGGGGGGCTCCCGGGGCCAGGCCGTTCTCCGGGGGGTGCCGGGAGGGGCAGGGGGGGCTGTCCCGGCGCAGGGAGTTGGAGCGGGACACGGACACGGCCTCCAGCTCGTCCAGGAGCCACGCCAGGGTCCCGTCCCGGCCCCCGGGGGTCCCATCCTGGGTCCCTTTGGAGCCGCGCACGATGGGCTGCGGGGAGGGGGGAACACATGGGGAAAATGGGGAAAAAAAAGGAAAAAAAAAAAAAACAAAACAGAAACAACAGAAAGATGACGTGGAATGGCTGCAGGGGGATGGCAGGATGAGCAGAGGGGACGGGGCTTGCCTGGGGGGTCCCTCTGGGGAAAAGTCCCAGACCCCAAAATGACCCCGGGTGCCCCCCAGGGACTGGGGTCCAGCCTCGCTGGCAAGGGGGGGGCAGAATATTGGGGTGGGAATGGGTGGATGTGGGAATGGGGGGCTAAAACAACTGGGAACACACACAATAGGGAGGAGATCAGGCAGGAATGACCCCGAGTTCCCAAAACGTGGGCCAGTTCCAGGTGTGGGGAAGGCTCTCACTGGGGGGGGACCCCTGTCCTGGGGACCCAATTGTCACCTCCCTGCCCCAAGACCCCCAGACTCCTCCCAGTTTGACCCCAAAGAGCATCCAGGACCCCTTCACGTACTCTAAGACCCCAAATTCCCCCAAACCCACCCCAGGGACTGAATGAGCCCTGCCTCCCATGATCCCAAAATTGCCTGGTCCATGACGCCCACAGTTTGTGTTTCTGGAAAGTAAGAAAGGGGTGGGCACCCGCCCCCCACCTCCCTGAGCCCTAAACCGCCCCAAATTTGTCTTTTTAGAAGGTAAGAAAGGGGTGGGCACCCAGCTCCCACCTCCCTGAGCCCCAAATTTGTCTTTTTGGAAGGTAAGAAAGGGGTGGGCACCTGCCCCCCACCTCCCTGAGCCCCAAACCGCCCCAAATTTGTCTTTTTGGAAGGTAAGAAAGGGGTGGGCACCCAGCTCCCACCTCCCTGAGCCCCAAACCGCCCCAAATTTGTCTTTTGGAGCTCCAAGGATGGCTGGAAACTCCTTCACCTGCTCCACAACCTCTGAACATCGAACAATCCCAAAAATTCCCTTATTCCAAGACCCCCAGACTGCCCCCAACTCAACCCCCAAAGAACACCCACAACTACATTTTCTGAGACCCCAAACCTGGAATGCTGACCCTCCCTCACCCCATCCCTCCCCCGGAATTCCCAACGCTCCCGCTCTTCCGCACCTTGTGGGCCCCGCGGATGGCGGTGATGCAGGCGGGGTCCACCAGAGGTTTGGGGCGGCGGGCGGACTCCTCGAGCAGCCCCTGCCACTGGCGGGGCAGCCCGGTGAAGCGCTGCTCCGAGGGGTCGTAGCCCGTGTGCACCCGGTGCTCGAAGTTGGACGGCGCCGAGATCTCCACCCGCTTCTTCTTCTTGGAGAACATGGCCCAGGACACGCTCCTGGCAACGGGATCGGGAGCCAGAACCGCGGGTTAGGGAAACGGGAACCGGCACCAGGAACGGGGTCAGCCCCTGAAATCCGATGGGGAATGTCCCTGGGAATGGGATCGGGAGCCAGAACCTCGCGGTTAGGGTGAGGGGAAATAGGAACCAGCACCAGGAATGGGGTCAGCCCCTGAAATCCAGGGATGTCCCTGGGAATGGGATCGGGAGCCAGAACCGCGGGTTAGGGAAACAGGAACCAGCACCAGGAATGGGGTCAGCCCCTGAAATCCAGGGATGTCCCTGGGAATGGGATCGGGAGCCAGAACCGCGGGGTGAGGGTGAGGGGAAACGGGAACCGGCACCAGGAACGGGGTCAGCCCCTGAAATCCGGGGATGTCCCTGGGAATGGGATGGGTGCCCAAATCCCATCGTTAGGATGAGATAAATTGGGAATGTTGGGATGGACCCCAAAAATCCCGCTGTTGGAAGGGTTTTTATCCATCCATTGGCCACTTCTGTCCAACATCCCCCGCTTTGATCCCGTTGCTTCCCGTTTTTCCCCAAATCCAAGCTTGGAAATGCCAGGAGCACCTGAAATTCCCACTTGGAAATGGGATTAATCCATCAGTTACCTCACCTGCGCCAACAAACAGATTTAAAACACCTCAAAAAGCCCCAAAAATCCACTTTTCCCAGTGCCAGGATCTCTGGGGCACAATCTGAGGATTTGACCGATTTCATTCCCTGTTTTTCCATGTTTTTCCTGCAGTTTCCAGGCCCAGAACGAGCTGAGCTGGGAGGGTTTTGGGAATGTGATCTCAGTGGGGCCATGAATCCCACTGGGAATGGCCCCAAAATCCCAAGGATCCCGGGTGGGTCCGTTTTTCCCATTTCCATTTTTCCCAGTGCCAATTTCCTGCTGCTTCCTTCCATTTCCAGGCTCCAGAACCCCACCGCTTCCAAGGTTTTCTCACTGGTTTTTCCCAATATTAAAGGTTTTCTCCTTAAATCAATGATCCATTATGAAGTTTTCCTCCTCCTCCACTTCGACCCCAGCCAAAAACTGCCAGAATTCTGCACATTCCCCATTTTCCTTTCTCATCCTACGCTGTTCCTTCCTTCCATCTTTCCAGGACACTGCTGGGATCCGTCCCTGGATTGCCTAAATCCCATTTTCAGATGGAAAATTCTCCTGGTTTGGGGAAATCGTAGCTGAATTTGGAGTGGGAGGATTAAAAACTGCTGCACTTGGGCTTTTCCTGCTGGGAATTGCACGGGAAATATCTGAGGATGGCCCAGGTGGGTCAGAAAGTCGGGGAAGTGCAGTATCCAGGGCTTCTGGACACCAAAACCACAGGATTTCATCCCAAAAAACACTCTTTTTTTTTTTTTTTTTCAGATGGTTGAGGAAAAACTGGTGGCACTTGACAGGGACAGAGGGGTCCTGAAGAATTCCAGAGGGGTGAACTTATCCCTCAGCCCTTCCCAGGCTGCATTCCTGGGATCCCAGCTGGGTTTAATTAGTTACCAATTAACAAGGAACTGAGCCCACACCAGCTGGAATATTCTTGTATTTTCCCTAAAATTCCCCCCCAAATCAGTGCATTTAGGCTGTATCCTGGTGAGAATCGTACTGGCAGCTTTGGGATGGAAAAGGGGACAAAAAGGTGGATGGTTTTATGGTTTTCCCATAAACCCCAAATCGCAGAAAATCAGATGTTACTGATTTTCTGACTGCTGATAGGGCAGGGGAGCGTCCAGGGAGGGGCTGAAATGGGATTTCAGGATTTTCAGAGTGCAGGTAGGTGAACTTCGGGAAAACAAAACAGCCTGGGTGGCATCAGGGCATTCCAGATGTTGCATTTGGCTTCATCCCACTTCCCAAATTCCACTATTCCCATTTTTTCTCCCCCTGTGTGGAGCTGGTCCATCCATCCCATCTCTCCTCTCTTTGCCCCAAATTGCTCCGTTTTCCCCTGACTTTCCTACGGAAGCAGAGCCCCAGGAAGATGAGGAGAACCCCCAGGGAAAGTCAGGGTAGATCCCAAGGGAACACGAAGGGATTCCCAGGGAATCCCTGCTCCGGAGCCTCCTTGGGATCCCTCGGGGGACACTGTGAGAAAATTCCACCAGCTGAAAAACTTACCTGGTATTCCCAACGCTTATTCCTGGGTTTTGTTTTCCCCCTAAAGTTCCCTGAATCCTGAACTCATGCTGGGTTTGATCCTTCTGGGAAGAAAACGGAAGAGCCAAAGTCTCCCTTGGAAAATCCCTGAGCTGTTTGGTTTTTTTTTTTCCTTTTGGGGGAATTATTTTCCTGCTGTCAGCCAGAACAGGAAGAGACTCCAAACCCTCCAAATCCACATCTTCCATGAAAAACTTCCAGCTGCAGGAGTTTGGGATCCTTGGGAAGCAGCTCCTCACAGGGACGGTTCAAAGCGTCCCGGAATCGCAGCGGGATCGGCGGAAGCGCGTTTTCCCGGTGATCCCGGGGATCCCGGTGATCCCTGGAGCTCGGATCCTGCGGGGAGCAGGGGCAGGCTGCTCCCAGGGGTTGTTCTCCTCACAACAGGTCCCGGAGCCGCGGGTCACTGCCCTGGGCTGGAATTGCCGGGATTCCCTGGGAAGGGATGACATTCCCGGCAAAGAGAGGCCGGGAAGGCCGGAGCGCCCCGGCCGGGAAAGGCGGGTTGGACTGGCCCAGCTGGATCTGCCGGAGGAGGAGAAGGAGGAGGAAGAGGAAGAGGAGGAGGAGGAAGAGGAGGAGAAGCGTCAGCCTTTGCCCGGAGGAATCCCGGAATTCCAGGAATCTGGTGACCCACGAGGAGCCTCCAAAGCTGACAGGAAAAACCCGGGACGGGGAACAGGAAATCCAAACTCCTGGGAAAAGGGAATCCACTGCTCAAAGCTTCCCTGATCACTGGGAAAACCAGGACGGGAGGGAAGGGGAAGGAGGAAGGAACGGGAAAAGGAGAAGCAGGAAAGGGGAGAAGAAGGGAAGAAGTGGAAAAGAAAGAATAGGAATTCTGGCAGAATTCATCTCCCTTCCTGCAGCAGGAAGTTCCCCCAGAGCTGGAAGTGCAGGGGGAGAGAGAGGGAGGAACGCTGGGAATCTCCAGCTTGGGGCAAAGGAAGGGCCAATTAATTGGAACCAATTAATCAGTAACGATCCTGTCTGTCCACGATGATCCGGTTCACTAAAATCCAGGAAAACGGCAAATCCCTCCTGGGGCTGCTTCGGGAACACCTCCAGAAAACCCAGATATTCCTCCCAGGGCTCCGGGGAGCCCAGGTTTCGTCCCATGGGAACGAACAAATTAAAAGATTAATTAAAATCTCTGCCAGGAATATCCTTGGAATTTCTTCCTGGAAAATCCGGAGAGATTTCCGCTCGTCCCGCATGGAATTGACAAGATGTTGGTGATCAAATTCCCACCTTTTGCCCCCAAACCCTGACAGGGAATGGCAGGAGGGAGAAGTTTTTGGCCATTTCCACACCAGGATATTCCCCACAAACCAGATTTCCACTTATTTCCAAGCCGACCACGGGCCAATCCCTCTATGCCACCATTCCTTATTTGAAAATTCACTAAATGACAGGGAAAACACAACTAAAAGCCCAAATCCAGAGGCTTTTTCCCATTTTCCTCCTTTTCCATTGAGGAGCGGTGACAGGAACACAAAAATCCAGTGGGGATGGTGATTTCCCTTTTGGGGAAATTGGGGGAAAACGCTGATTTTGAGGAGTCAGGACATTCCTGAGGAATCCCAGTGCTCCTCTGTCTTGGAGTTCCTGACCCAAATCCACAAGAAACGCTGGAAAAATCTATCCGAGGGCTCCTGGATGGGAGCGTGGGGAGGAGACCCCAAAAATCCCCGTGAGATAAAAAATTCCGGGAATTAATTCCGGATCCGTTTCCTACCTTCCACGAAGGGAAAACTTTCCTGCCTCAGCTCCGCATTCCAGGTCCTCCGGGAAAAGTGCTGCACGGGGAAGAACGGAATTCCCTCAGGAGCACCCCAGACCTCCCCTCCTGGGGTGTTTTTAGGGCGGGGGGTGTTTAAATACATATCCCGATGCTCTCCGAGAATTCCAGAGTTCCCCAAGGCTGTTGCTTCCGCCCCCCCCCCAGGGATTCAGAGATCCTCAAACTGCCCCAAAGCCCATCCCCAAGCTCCCAACTCCATCACCACGGAATTCCTTTTCCCCGGGAGGGGAGGGCGGGTCTCCAAAGGCCAGATTCCCCCCGAAATCCCGAAATTCCTCCCGGGCGCGCTCAGCCCCTCCCCCGCCGGGCCCCCTCAGGCCTCACTCGGCCGCCGCCGCCATGTTGGGACCGAGCCACATCCGGGTCCTCCCACGCCCGCGTCGCCGCGGAGACAGGCCGTGCCCTTAGGGGGCGGGGCCAGGGGAGGGAAGGGCGTGGCTACCCATATATGGGCAAGGAGCGGCCCATGGGGAGCCTAATATGGCAAAGAGGGCGTGGCCTAGGGCGGAGCGAAGCAGTATATGGGCGGGGACGGCCGTTTGGGGCGGAGCTTAGGGCGGTTTTGGGCGGGGCCGAGTGGCCAGACGGCGGCTGTGCGGTGATTAGGGCGGGATTAAGTGGAATCTGACCAATCACCGCACGAATCACGGAGATTGGCATCTCCGCCATCCAATCGCAGCGCGGCGCGCTCGGATCTGGGTAAGATGGCGGCGCGCTGAGGGGAACGTGGGGGTTTCGGTCCCGCCGCTCTCCCCTGGTTCCCGGGAGGTTCCCGGTGCCCTCCCTAGGCAGTTCTGATCGCGCATTCTTCCCTCAGAGCCTCGGAGATGTCGCTCCGCGCCTTGCTCAGGACCGCCGCCTCGCTGCCCCGCTGCAGTGCGTAAATTCCCCCTCCTCCCTAAACCCTCCGGAAAGCCCCTGACGCCTCTCCGCTCCCCTCCGCAGGGCCGTGCCCTCCTCCCTAAGCCCTCCACGAAGCCCCTGAGCCTCTCCGCTCCCCTCCGCAGGGCCGTGCCCGCTGCCGCCCCCTCCTCACTCCGCCGCCATGGCCACGCTGAACCAGATGCACCGGCAGGGCCGCCCTGCGCCCCCTCCCCGCAAGCTGGGGGCCACCCTGGGCCGGCCCCAGATCAAGGGGGTGGTGCTGAAGAACCTGATCCGAAAGCCCAAGAAGCCGAACTCGGCGAACCGGCGATGCGTGCGGGTGCGGCTCAGCACCGGCCGCGAGGTGATCGCCTTCGTGCCCGGCGAGGGCCACAACCTGCAGGAGCACCACATCGTGCTGGTGCAGGGGGGGCGCACCCAGGACCTGCCCGGCGTCAAACTCACCGTGGTGCGCGGAAAGTACGACTGCGCCCACGTACAGGCCAAGAAATGACGAGGGGACCTTGGCATGGGGGTCCTGGGAAGGCGGCCAGCCCAGGATGAGGGTCCCCAGGCGGGGATGTGCCGGCCCTGGTGCCGTTTGGAATAAAAGCTGGTGGTGATGTGGGGTGTGGTGTGTGGTGGGGGTGTTGGGAATGGTCCTGGGAGCGCTGGGAAGGAGCCTTCGGAGACCGAGGTGGTCTGGTGGGCAGGGAAGGGTCCTGGGGGCGCTGGGAAGGAGCCTTTGGAGAGACTGAGGTGGTCTGGTGGGCAGGGAAGGGTCCTGGGGGCGCTGGGAAGGAGCCTTTGGAGAGACCGAGGTGGTCTGGTGGGCAGGGAAGGGTCCTGGGGGCGCTGGGAAGGAGCCTTTGGAGAGACTGAGGTGGTCTGGTGGGCAGGGAAGGGTCCTGGGGGCACTGGGAAGGAGCCTTGGGAAAGACTGAGGTGGTGTCGTGGGCAGGGAAGGGTCCTGGAGGCACTGGGAAGGAGCCTTGGGAAAGACTGAGGTGGTGTCGTGGGCAGGGAAGGGTCCTGGAGGCACTGGGAAGGAGCCTTTGGAGACTGAGGGGTCCTGGAGGCACTGGGAAGGAGCCTTTGGAGAGACTGAGGTGGTCTGGTGGGCAGGGAAGGGTCCTGGGGGCGCTGGGAAGGAGCCTTTGGAGAGACTGAAGTGGTCTGGTGGGCAGGGAAGGGTCCTGGGGGCACTGGGAAGGAGCCTTTGGAGAGACTGAGGTGGTGTCGTGGGCAGGGAAGGGTCCTGGAGGCACTGGGAAGGAGCCTTGGGAAAGACTGAGGTGGTGTCGTGGGCAGGGAAGGGTCCTGGAGGCACTGGGAAGGAGCCTTTGGAGACTGAGGGGTCCTGGAGGCACTGGGAAGGAGCCTTTGGAGAGACTGAGGTGGTCTGGTGGGCAGGGTAGGGTCCTGGGGGCACTGGGAAGGAGCCTTTGGAGAGACTGAGGTGGTGTCGTGGGCAGGGAAGGGGTCCTGGGGGCACTGGGAAGGAGCCTTTGGAGACTGAGGGGTCCTGGGGGCACTGGGAAGGAGCCTTTGGAGACCGAGGTGGTCTGATGGGCAGGGAAGGGTCCTGGGGGCACTGGGAAGTGGCTGCAAGGCCATGGAGGAGGATGGGGAGGGATCTGGGGATTCGGGGGATAGCTCAGGGTGTTCAGTGAGAGACCCCGGGGGTGTCACGAGGGTCACCAGGGGGTCAGTGGGTGACAGTGATTGGACAGAAAATGCCGCAGTGCAGCGCAGAGGTGAAGGGTCATTGGGTCACTAAGAGAAATAATATACCTGTCTATTGTTAATTGGGTAAAAATAGGTATAAAGATAAAAGAACTGCGTACTTCGGAGGCATTTTGTGCATCAGCCACGAGGCCTTGTTTGTAGCATCAGAAGGAAGAAATGTACCTGTGCACATTTCCTGCATCTGCGTGCTCGCTCTGCTGCTCTTTGGGCTGTCTGTTTGTCTCTGCAGCTGATGAGTTTCCATGTTCTTCGCTAGGAAGTTAATTCCACTCTGAACCTCTGAATACACAAACATACACTTTCCTCCAAATTATTAATTGAAATGAATTCTTAATCTTCTCGCTTCTGACCCTTTGACCAGAACTAAAGAATTCTCTCTCAACTTTGCTTGAGTACTGTTAGAAGAATACCTGGTAATTGATGGAACTGGCTTTGTGAAAGACTTGTTTAAAAAGAACTGTCTTAGTTTAGGGCAGGACAAGGACTGCTCAGGAATTATTTGCAATAGATGTAAGATCTTTACGCTTTTTCCACAATCTAAGATACATACATGGTGTTTCCACTCTTCTGAGCTGTAACTTTTGTTTCTCCCCCTCTCTAAAGCCTCTCGGGGTCAGCGGGGTCACCGAACGCGGAGCGCTCCGGCTCTGAGCCCGGGGGCGTGGCCTGGCAGCGAGGGGGCGTGGCCTGGCCGCGAGGGGGCGTGACAGGGCAGTGAGGGGGCGTGGCCTGGTCGTGAGGGAACATGACCTGGCAATGAGGGGCGTGGCCTTGCTACGAGGGGGCGTAACCAAAGCAGTGATAAGCGTGACCTGGCTCTGAAGGGGCGTGGCCTGGCAATGAGGGGCGTGGCCAAAGCGATCCGGGGGAGGCGCGGTCCGCGCGCGCGTCCGGCTCCGCCCCCGGCTCCTGCTGCACGTGACCCGCGGCCAAGATGGCGGCGCGGCGGGCGCTGCTGGCGGCGGTGCGCTCGGCGGGGCGCTCGGCGGGCGGGCGGCGCGGGGCCGCGGGAGCCGCTCCCGGCCCGGGTCCCGCTGCCGGGCTCTCGGCGGGGCGCTCGGCGGGCGGGCGGCGCGGGGCCGCGGGAGCCGCTCCCGGCCCGGGTCCCGCTGCCGGGCTCTCGGCGGGGCGCTCGGCGGGCGGGCGGCGCGGGGCCGCGGGAGCCGCTCCCGGCCCGGGTCCCGCTGCCGGGCTCTCGGCGGGGCGCTCGGCGGGGCGGAGCCGCCTGTTCGAGCACGTCCGGGAGGGGCTCTCGGCGCGGCCGCAGCTGGACGTGACGGCGCTCAGCGAGCGGGACGTGGAGCAGCGGCGGGGGCCGCTGGGGAGCGCCGAGCTCCGGGAGATCGTGAGTGGCGGGGCCGGTTCGGGACGGGGTGGAGGCCGTGGGCTCCCCCAGCTCGGCCGTGGGCTCCCCCGGCTCGGCCGTGGGCTCCCCGGCTGGGCTGTGCGGTCTCCCGGCTCGGCTGTGGGCTCTCCCCGCTCGGCTGGGCGCTCTCCCGGCTCAGCTGGGCGCTCTCCCCTCTCGGCCGTGGGCTCTCCCGGCTC